GCCATGTATCGTGAGATTTTTAGTTACAACCTCCTTCCATCAGCAAGGGCATTGAAGATGAAACGTGGCTGGGTCTTTCAGCATGACAATGATCCCAAACACACCGCCCGGGCAACGAAAGAGTGGCTTCGTAAGAAAAATTTCAAGGTCCTGGAGTGGCCTAGCCAGTCTCCAGATCTCAACCCCATAAAAAAATCTTTGGAGGGAGTTGAAAGTCTGTGTTGCCCAGCGACAGCCCCAAAAACATCACTGCTCTAGAGGAGATCTGCATGGAGGAATGGGCTAAAATACCAGCAACAGTGTGTGAAAACCTTGAGAAGACTTACAGAAAACGTTTGACCTCTGTCATTGCCCAACAAAGGGTATATAACAAAGTATTGAGATTAACTTTTGTTATTGACCAAATACTTATTTTCCACCATAATTTGCAAATAAATTCTTTAAAAATCAGAATGTGATTTTCTGGATTTTTTTTTCTCATTTTGTCTCTCATAGTTGAGGTATACCTAGGATGCAAATTACAGGCCTCTCTCATCTTTTTAAGTGAGAGAAATTGCACAATTGGTGGCTGACTAAATACTTTTTTGCCCCACTGTATATATTAAAAACAGCAAGATTTTAAAAACGAATACTTCTGTATATCTTGCTCCTATGTAGTAGAGGTGGTGTGGCCCACTGTCCCATAATCCTCCGCTGCATGTAAACAAACAGGAACCTCTTTATAAACTGGACTCTGGCCGCTGGGAGCTTTTTCACAAACACAATGAAGGATGTTTTGGAATTCAAGTTGTTTGTACAGGATGTCCAAAACAATGCAGTGTCTCAGAGCTTTGTGTAATCATGAAACAACATTACCGTGAAACATCATCCGGAGCAAAAGAGGCTGAGATATTAATCTGATGCTGGAGTTTATACAACTGAGCTTCTCAGTTCTTGGTTCATATACTGTCTCTGACATTATTTATCTTTTATAATCATCATAGAACAGGCTCATGTACAGGCATTCACATAAGCACCTTTCTCTGTACTGCAGTGCCCTCTAGTGGAGTTTAAAGATAATACAGGTGGCTCAGCTGTGATACGCACCTAGCATCAAATATACTGTATTATGATTTTCTTTTTTTGAGGAACAAGTATAACTACAACATACATTATGTGTCCCTTAGAGACCAGTGGTGGAAAGAAACTAAATACATTTACTTAAGTATTGTAGTATAGTTGTAGTTTTTTGACATATTTTTACATTTCTATTTAAAGCTTTTATTTTTTTTACATTCACAGTTACTTGTTAATTTGTACATATATAATCACATGATATGCTGATGTGATAAAATGCAGTACTGTATTACTTATCTATCAAATGTATCTAAATTATAATAAATAATGTAAGTTTTGGGGACATATAATGTACGTTGTAGTTATACTTGTTCCTCTAAAAAATACATAATACAGTATATTATAATACAGCTGCAACCACCTGTATTATCCATAAACTCCACATTGAACAACTACAACATTATAATGCTCCTAAATGAAAAGAAACTGGATATTATAATAACCATAATAATGTAATACTTTGAAAAGAGGTAAAGAGTAGGCTACTACTTGAAGTACATCAAGCTGGTAATACTTCTGTACTTTATATTATTCTGAAATGGGTCAGTGTGCAGAATGATTACTTTTACTTTTTGTACTTTCAGTATAGTTTGATGGTAATACGTTTGTACTTTTACTTAAGTAAGATTTGGAATGCAGGACTTTTACTTGTAACAGAGTAGTCCTACACTCTGGTATTATGAGTACTTCTTTTTTTTTAGAAGCATGTTTATCGATCAGTTTATTCTAAATATCATGTAGATAGGAAATAATTTACAAAATTAAATAATACAATTACTTTCAAGTAGCTTAATCAACACAAAACATCATCATCATGAACATTCAGTCAACTATTAATAAAGGATTAATTATCAATCTGTCCCGTGTGTGTTTGTAACAAAATAAAATAAGGCTAACCTTTACTATGCGTGTGTGGAGTAAACCGTTCCTTATGTAGATACTGTTATCCGTGTGTTGTTGACCTAAAGGGATAGCTTGCTTATCATGTATTATCATACAACAGGCTAATCAACAGGCCTTGACATAAGACTGCACTGCCTTCTAGTGGATGTTGCAAATATAACACAGGTGGCTCAGCTGTGATACGCAACTGGATTTAAATATATATTGTAATATATTATTGTATAGTTAACAAGTACAACGATGTAAACGGTACATGATGTGTCCTTAGAAACAGATGTGTGTTGTTCATTAGTTTGGGTGGATGTGTACCTGGAGCAGAGCCCTGCCCCAGGATCAGCTGCTGTGGAAATGTTTCCCCTGCGGTGATTCCGCCTTCCCGAACACCGACCTCCTCCCTGACACACTTCCACATCTTCCTGCAGCAGCGGGGAGTTGTTTTTAAAGGGTTTGTTAGCAGCGATGATGGGAGAAATGACGGAGCAAAAGAGGCTTTCTGAAGTTATTAACCAGATATTTCAAGAAGCGCCGACTGCCAGGAGGAATCTGGTTGATAACCACAGTAACCTCCACCGCGTCGCAGATTACTGCGAGAGCAACTTCCTCCAGGTGAGTGGGCCCAATGGTCAGTGAACAACAACAGGTAAAGTCACAACTGGTACCAGGTTTAGGACTTTCCATGTGTTTTACAGAGGTATTCAGATCGATTACTTTAGTAAAAGTAGAAAAACGCACTTGGAAAAATACTCTGTTAAACGTAAAAGTACTGTAGCAAAAGTAGGCTACAGTATTGGCATTTTAAAATAATTAATGTCTAAAATGGGATATTACTCTTAAAGCTTAATGTCCCATTTAAGAATCCTATATTAAAATACTGGTAAAGTGAAGCACACTTTATTTACTTTAAATAGTGCTATTGGATATTTTAATCTCTAATGTATTTCAATTTGGTTTATGAGTTTATTAGTATTTTGTATTAGCTAATCATCTGGATCTGCAAAGTAACTAGTAACGTAAGTCTTAAGCTGTCAAGTAAAAGAGATGGAGTAAAAACTACATTATTGGCTTCCAAAGTGTATTGGACTATGAATACCATACAATGCTAACACTCAGGTAGAGTATACTGCAAAATTGTATTAGAGTACATTGCTTGATAAATGTACTTCATTACATTTCACCACTGTAAAACCATAAATACAACCCTCCAGGCAGAGGACACATCGAAGGCGGTTGAGGAGGCGATGGGTCTGGCTGCTCAGGCTCTTGCCAGCGTGGCGTACCAGATCAACAGCGTGGGCAGCACCCTGCTCCGGTTGCTGGACTCCCAGGACCTGCAGATCAGAGACCTGGAGTCCTCCGTCAACCTGCTGTCCCTGGTGAGGACCACATCTACCTGAAACTCTGAAACTGCTCACCTGACCTCGGCTGCCCCATAGAGTCATGTGACCTTTGCATATTGTTGTTATGATGCAGGGAAAACCTCAATACAGTTCCTACAAATATATATTTACTACAATTGTTGTTACCATTATACCAAAATAGTTTTGGCAGTATTGTAAGTATTGCAACTGTTTAAGTATTGACAAACTATATTTATAAAAACAATGTTTCTGAAAACACTACCTTCCATAGCATGGCAAAAACATTTTTAAAGTATAGTCTGTAAAAGTTGCAGCATTCTGCTTTTTATTTGGTGAAATAACAGAATGAAACAAGTAAATACAAGTGGTATTCATACTTGTTTGTATCCTCATTTTCATAATTGAATGAACTGCTTTTGCTGAACAATGGAGTGCTTGACCTTCGGCCACTACATTAAACCTTAAATACAAATTTCTACAGTTGGTTGTATATTTGGAAAAGCAAAAAGTGTCCATTTGCTGCATTGCTCCACTTGCAGGTCGTCGCTCACATCTGAAGTCAGTCTGGTCAATATGCTATCTAGGAACAAGTGTTCTGAGAGTGTTTGTGTCTCTCTGTGCTCTTCTCCAGGCTGCAGCTATCCACTTGGAGTCGGTAGCCAGGAGAGAGATTGGTGCTTTCACTACTCCTAAAGACAGAACCCGAGCCAAGCTCATCACCCCCCCGACAGCAGGCAAGGAGCCGGAGAGAAGTTACTCCAGAGTCCCAATATCGTTCTCCATCTTGGACTCCACTGGACACTGCTTTGAGGTATATTGGATGTGAAATTGGAAGAGAAAGAAAATAAATTGACTTTAAGTTCAAAACCTTTCATTGTGTAGAGATGCCTTTGTTTTCTAAACCTTTATCCGTCTTCTCCCCAAAGTACCCCCTGCAGCCTAAGAAAGCCGACTCCACAGAGAGCATACAGAGCACTGCAGACTACACTGTGTCAGTATAACAACTTATTTTTTACCCTTTTTAAAGCAACTTTGTTAAAAATATTAACACTCCCATACTGATTATTATAAAAGAGGCATAACATAAGCTGCACAATTCAAGATCATGTCGGAAAGGTTAGTGAAATATGGACGAAAGAAACAGTAAAATACACTCACACTAAAAAGGAAACATTCACAACCTTTTGTTACGTTATCAAATCAGTGTTGATTATTCATGCTAAGTATGTGCTATATTGACAAAGAAAACGGAGTTCTCCTGTTAATGAAACTGACTGGCAGGGCATACATGTACCAGGATGCATTGCACGCAAACTACTCAAGGCCCACTATATCCTCTTGCACAGCTAATGCAGAACTAGCTTCAGCCATTTCTGCTTTTTAAACCCTATAAAATGAGTCCTCGTCCACTAACCCCAATTCCTTTTCACTGCCTGCAATGTGATGGAGTTTTGCTTTTGAGTGGAATTTAGAGCACAATAACCCCCTGACTACGGAGTTAGAGACAATAAATCCAAGCTAAAAAAGTGTAGTTCTTACTTGAATCCAACATCTAGAGAAACATATTATGGTGAGATCCCCCCAGCCACCAAGGGCGTATAGTTGGGAGACCAATGGCACCTTTCCTACTCCCTGCCTCCTACTCACTGTACAGCACCCTTGTTTGAACCACATCCATCTACAATCTGTTTGGATCTCAACTACACATCTCTAAAGTTGTGTGACTGCATCTTGTTTGGTATTTGATGCTATCTCTTCACAGACACACACACGCTCACAAGGGGAAAATAATACAAGTCGTGGCTAGTAAAAACAGCTATCTAAAGCTCTCTTATTAATACATCTAATATTTTCTGGATCTGTTCAAGAAACATGTTGAACTATTCTTTTAAAAAAACGTTTCTTTTTTTTTAATGCAGGTCCAGTTACGGCATCGCTGTCCCCCCTCCATCAGTCCCCACCTGGCCAAACGTCTCCAACCCCACCGACAACAGCCTGCCTCCGCCTCCTCCTGCCAATCTGGACCCCAGTATGACCGCCCCTCCTCCTCCACCAACACCACCACCTCCTTCCTCAATGGACACAGGCCTCCCCCCTCCTCCGCCAAATTTAACCTCACCCACATGTCTCCCCCCACCTCCCCCTCCACCGCCAATCTCTCCGTCGAACAACGCCTACCCGCCACCGCCTCCTCCTGTATCGGGAGGTTCTCCTCTTCCTCCTCCACCTCCTCCACCTCCTCCTGTATCGGGAGGTTCCCCTCTTCCTCCTCCACCTCCTCCACCTCCTCCTGTATCGGGAGGTTCCCCTCTTCCTCCTCCTCCTCCTCCTCCACCACCCTCTCAGACTGGCACCTCTGGGTTTGTGCCACCTCCACCTCCTCCTCTCCTACGCTAACAGACATTATCGGATGTTTTTATTCTTCAAGGAGTAACTTCTTGTGTAACTCTCAGGCATGCTGGGGTGTGTACAAACATGAGAAATTATTTCAGGCATTATTGTGGGATCAGAAATAAGCTTAAATAAAACATTTCAAGAGGTTCTTTTATACTTTTTGGGGGTTTTCCCTTTCCTGTTATATGTTTTTTAGGTTTTTGTGCATGTATATGGTCTGTAAAGGCTAAAATACCAAAGTTCCCTCCATTGGACTCCTTTATTTACTTCTGTAACATAGTGACATCACTACGCAACATTCACGCTCCTATTGGCTAGCACTCCAACATATTGTACGTGAAAGGCCAAGGGGCGGGACGTCTCTAAGCTGGTTGACCAATCACAACAGAGGCGGCCAGCTAACCAATCAGAGCAGACTGGGCTCTGGTTTCAGACAGAGGGTGAAAAGAGGTGCTGCAGCACAGGTAGTATGAGAAAAAGAGCTTTTTGAATATTAAAGCATAGAGACATGTCACAGTAGAGACACTAAATACTAATATGAACCTAAACATGAGCATTACAGGGCCTCTTTAGGGTGTGTGTAGTGGTGTAACCTTGAGCTGGCTCAGCGTGAGCCTCAAATTATTATTGTTCTGGGACAGAGAATCCTCCTTCAAAGTGAAACATTCTGCTGCAGTGCAGATTCCTCTGACATGTTTCAACAAAACCTTGACTGCATTCCTAGGACACAAGCTGAAACAGGGGATTTTGTCTTTTCCCTATAATGTCATCACGCCTTCATTATTACTTCATTGCGTTTATCACATTGTTTCCTAGTGATTAAGAATCACTTTTAACAGAGAGCGCCCTTTGGCCCCTCAGTGTCATTGGAGTGGGAACAGTGTCAAAGATGATAAGTTCTTTACGTCACTGGCCGGTGAGTTCTGCTACTTTAAATAGGTCAAGGAGGCTATAAAATGTCTGTTGCAAGTCATCGCGCTACTTAACCTGCACTGCATGGCGTGTACTTGAAGGTAAGCTTTATTTACTGAATGGAACATATTAATTTAGTCAGAGACAGCTCAACCAAATTTGATAAATCTTTTTCTGTGCTTTTTTTATTGACTCTACTCAGCAAGGCCTGAAACTGGAGAAACAGGCTCATTGTAGAAGGTCCTGTTTTATATATTCGTCAGAAATGAAAAGGAAATGTTAGCCACTTTCTTTTACTGCTGCTTTCTTTTGCTTTAATAAATTCGAATTCAATCTTTTATGTAGCAACATGCCATTAGAGCAACACAGGCTGTGCAGTTTTATCTTTGAACTATAGTGTTATATTGACTAAGTGTGGGAGTCAGATCAAAACCTACAGTGTTATTGCGGTGGATATACGTTTCAGGATTGTGAAACTTTCACAGTAATTATATCTGCCTTAAAGACATTCTGTTTATGTCGGTTTGTTATTTAGGGATACAACGCAATAAAGAGCTACCTTTGAACTGTCTGACTGTATTGCAAAACTGAACATTATATAACATGACAAACGGTTAGATATTTACTATCTTCAGGTCCCTTTGAATAACAAGGCCTGTTTGTGCATTTTTTCTCAGGTGTGATTTAGAAAAAAAGAAAACTGCCATGGTCCTTTATTATCCTGTGATTGAGTAAGTATTTCAAACGTTAATTTGACCTCCTCTACACCTCATTGTATGCCTGCTGCATGTATACTCAAGCCGTCTTTTATTTCAGGATCCTCTTGATGTGCGCTGGTATCCTACTGTGGGCTTTTTGTTACCATTTCGTAAGGAAGCGCAGAGAAGCAGAAAGATTGTCCACGATGCCGGCTAACTCTCCCTCTGTGTACGTCATCCCCATATGTGAAGAAGAGCAGGTGGGAGAGGAAGACGAGGAAATGATGGACGTATATGAAGCTTATTTTCAACCTCCTTACCGAGAGCCTCCCATGTACTGCTCAAGGAATGTCAGCCCTCCTCCATACAGGGTAGGTTTTGATAAAGGGTTTTTTCTGCTAATTATCTTTAAAAATTTTCTCAAAAGATTTTATCCTCAGCAAAGAAAGTGCAATATTTATGTAATTGAATAACTCTTTATCCTTTCCAGTTCGAACCACCATCCTATCCAGACCCCCCTCCATCATACTCAGATCTTCCACCTTACTCAGAGCGACCCTGATCCTCCACCTCATCGTTCATACACTTCAAACATCCTCAACTCTAAACAAACCGTACCTTTTTTTTTTACATAACATTCCTATAGAATCAAATAAGGGTCACTTAGAGTTTGACATCATTTCACAAACGTGGTTGTAAATAAGATTTAAGAATTAAAATGTAAAAGCCTGGGTTTAAATTCAGTCATTCTTAACATGTCTCTTATTACATAACAAAAAGCACAACCTAATTTCACAATATCTTTTTGACCCTTATTTGAGCCCATACAGGTAACTGTTAACGTTAGTGCTTGTACGTGGTTATAAGTTTCATTTGGGACATAAGTGTATATGATTAATCTACCTGTAAGCAATCCACTGTGTGGAAAAGGAGAGACTGGGTTTGACTGTTTTAAATACTAAAGTTTCATACTCAACCTTGTTTAAACACTGCCATATGTACAATATGCATACCTAAAAGAGATTCAGTATTTAAGTTAAGGCACTTGTTTACATGCTTGAATATTACCAACTGTTTAACATACAGTATGTTATTTACAAAATAAAGAAATGTATATTTGTGAATACAATGAATTGAAGTCTTATCATGCTTGAAATATAACCCCCACCCAACATTTTAAAAGTAGATCTGTAAATTAGTAAATACTAAATAAGATCAGTTTTAGTTCAGAAAGCCATGACTATTTGGAGGGATACAATTGAAATGTTTTGGTTATTTTGACAAAGTTTGTATACTGCAAGTAGAACAAGAGTGGTCTTATTATTGATCCCTGAGGAACGCCATAGTTGTTGCTGTGCTGCAGCAAATAGAGAATGAATGATTTTGTTTAACATGCAGGATGTGTAAGACACAGAGCACACCTCTAAGTCCTGTGTCTTTAAAAAAAAACAATAATGCTGTAAAAGCTCATCGGGTCATGCACTTCCCTAAGTGACACACATTATCCTTTGATACAGTCCTGAGGGCAGGACACTTTCTGTTTGTTTTGGAGTCTTAAAAAAGGTAAGGACTCATCCCATTGTAATGAAATAATCAATTTATCTTTTAATTATGTGTGATCAAGGTAATGTATGTTAGAATTAGTTGAATATAGTCGTTTTCTCTAACGGTTATAACGAGATTTATATGATGAAAGTTCACCGTCGGTTGTTAAACTCAGACAATAAAGTTAAACAGTATCCCGGTCATCCAGATCGTTTTGATTCAAGCTTGTTTATTTGTACAACGCTGAGGAGTTTTGAAAGCGTTTAAAAGTGTGTTATTGTTAGTGAAATACTGCAGGGTCATAGGTCACAAGTCAACCATGTGATTGGTCAGTTAGTCTCGTACTAGTGGGCTCGAGTATGTGAAGGCTGACACATCATAACATCCTGTGAGCCAACACCCACTTGTTGATTTGTGTGCGTCACGTCTAAAGACTTCATTTCCGTCAGAGAAGACAGCTTGTTTTATTCTTTTACTGAAATAAATCTGATACTGTAGAGGTTTTCCAAGCTTGTCCACATCTCCAGAACATGTCATAGAACATTTAACACGTTTGAACAGCTGGACTCAGATCTTATTCTTAAGTATAGTGAGAAAAATTACAGCGTTAAAATAAGTAAGAGCCCCTACTATCAAGTAAGAGCGCTTATTCTGTACAACTGACCATTCTCAGAAAATAAATGATTGAATTATTATAGAATGAATGCATCAAAATTGCACTATTTTTTTTATGCCAGTAGCTTGTGGATTTTATTGGCTCAATGTTATAATAATGCGTCACATTTGTTGATTATGTTTTGTTCAACTTAAGATAGCAAGTCAATACAGTGGAGTATATTATCTTCATTATCTTATTTATCCTTATGATGTAATGTAATCTTCATTATCTTATTTAAACTCATAATGTAATGTAATCTTCATCATCCTCATTATCTTCATCAGGAAGTACACTATTTTCAATATGTATTGTATTAAAAGTCAAAATAACAGGAAATGGAAATACTAAAATAAAAAGTACATATACTTGAAAGACTGTAATTAGTAACCGTCTACTTGCATTCATATTCAGTCTACATTATTCTAATTTCAATTAGTTGTCACACTGTCAATGGTTGACCATGTTACATATCATTATTTAGTTTTTTCCTTAGAGCAATGTCAGCAGTTTGACATAACAACAGCCATGGCTCCAGTAGGGAATATCCTCCAATGTTTGTAAGTAATCAAATAAAGGCAAACATGAAATCGCCCAGATGATATACCTCTGAAGTCTCTGAATGATGGAAATGTGCTCCTAGATTCCCAGGCTTGGTGGCGTCCATCGCTGTGGTTCTCCTCTGCTTCTATATGCAGTCAAAAAAGAAAAGAGCAGCGTATGACGTCACCGTACCGACGCCACATGATGACAACCGGCTCTCTACGATTTCTTTGCCTGAGGCTCAGGCAGAAGAAGAAACACAATATGACAGATTCCCCCCTCGGTACAGCACTGTGGATCTCCCCCCACCATACTCACTGGTGCGTAAGCCCGTCATTAAAGTCACTGCAAAGGTTTAAACTACTGTCATTAATATAACCAACATATTGGACAACTTTAACTAAATCACAGGCTGTATTTGGACACAGAAGATTAATAGAAAAGTCATATAAACATTTAAAAATCCAATTAAATAAGTCTTAAAAATCAACATTTAAAGGAATAGTTTGACAGTCTTGAGTGTATGTGTCTTCATATCTTACTGTCAGCAAGAAAGCCAATAAGCATGTCACAAAATGACTATTAGCTTTTCACCAAAAAACGTTTAATTTTGTTTAAGATTGAATTGATTTATTGGAAACAAGGGACAGTGTACATTAATCAACATATTAAAAACATGTAAAAGTACTCAAATTAGCCAAAAGGCTAGTTTTTATCGATAGTCCCTTTAATAGATGGTGATAGACATCCTAAAAGCAATAATAAAAATACCACAACATTGTTATACCATTGTACATATTTACAATAGATTAGTAATCTAGAGCTTTCCACTCATTTTAATAATTAAAAACATGAAATATAAAACACTGATTTAAATTGAATTCTGTTACTACAATAACAGGGTGTGCTTTACTGTGTGTGCAGTTTGACTCATAGACATGTGTGGATGACATTGAACAATTGTAATTCAATTTAAATCTCTCTTAAAATAATCAACAATTAAGTTAAAAGTTTAATTTTTTTTTCTGGAAATATGCTTATTTATTTTCTTCAGTCTATCCATCTTCACATCTAACTCTCAGTAAGAAATACAAGGTGTAAAAACAGACAATTTTAAGTAGAATTTTGTTATTACAATGAGACTGTGCTTCATTTGATGCAGTTTGACTCTGGATGCTACATACATTTAAATTATATCTCTTAAAATCCAACCCATTTTTTGGCAAGTATCTCCATCTTTACATCCATCAGATATTTGATTATTTAAGTTTAGTAATCTAGATCTTCAGATTCATTTTTATAATTTTCTAAAAACAATTGTAATATCAAGTATGAAACCGTGACAATTTTAAAATGATATTGTAGGAACAGATAATTAAAATAATAAAATGTCACTTTACGTTTTTTCAGTTTGATCCCAAGATTACCAGCATTTGGTCCGATGACTCTCCACCTGCATTTGAGATGTATCCGATAACGCAGTCTCCTCATCACTGGATTACACCCGCGGGACACCTGCATCCATAACAACCATCGAGCACCATCATCGAGCACCATCACCCCCCCCCCCCCCCCCCCCCCNNCCCCCCCTGCAGCCACACAGGAAACACCAGGCCTCCAACAGCTTTACATTTGAACTTACCAAACACTGACTCACCTTATGTTGTTTCTGTGTATGCTGAAAAATAGTATGTCACTTATTTAATGCTTTGATTTGAGCTTTGCATTGATATTAACTGTAGACAGTGAAGCAATCCTCTCAACATCTCCATTTTAATACACTTTGATATGAACATCAAACTACAGTGTAGCTGTCCCACTGCATCTACACACCAGCAGAACCATGAAAGCACAGAGGGGCTCTCTATGTTATACTATATACTCTTTATTACAATACAGTACTTACAAGTTTGAGGGGAAATAAAATAGATATTCAATGCATTGCCAGTATTATTCTTCTCTATTCTCTAAGAAGGAACATGTACAGTGAGTGTTTCCTTGGCTTTTGAACAACGTTAAGGCAAAAGTAAGTATGTAAATATTTGACTGTATGTAAATCAGAAATAACAGAAAAAAAACGTCCATTAATTGTCCAACCTGTATTGTTAGGTAACATATTTGCCTTCATTATACAATCAGTGCATACTGTAGGCTACTTTTACATTTTTTGTTGTTCTTAGTGCTACAAATAGAACTCCAACAGAATCAATTTGCTGGGTCGTCTCTCTGTCGAATAAACCTGACGCTTTACCAGCATAGGACAACAAATGTATAATGTAATCAACATTCAAAGATAAAAGGATTGCAATCTTAACACAAAGTGTGTTTATGTATACATCAGTGTCTGTGTGTAAATGTATTGCACATATATGTTATAGTTTGAATCTATTGCTGTTCATTTTTCAAATTAGTGGAGACAAACGATATAAAGAACATTTCTGAACACATACAATCATACTGTGTGATCAAATGGTCTATAATAAATATGACATTTGGTATGTTTCCATCACCACCAATCTGTCCTACCAACCCAATGTAAACAGTACACTACATAAAGTAGGAAAGGCTAGAAAGTTTTATATCCTTCGACGAAAAAAACCTTCGGAAGATTAATCTCCAAAACATATTCTTTACTCTAACGGCCCGTCCACACACAGGCATGAAAAAAATCTTTCAAAGCTTCGCCCATTCACTTGAATGGGGTGACGTAGAAGATTTTTAATCTTCGCCGAACTGCATTGTGGGGAGCGGAGCATGGCTTTGCAAACATCGTGAGCATCAAAAGTTGAGCAATGTTCAACTTTTGATGCTCCCAATGCTTGCGAAGCTGGCATCAGCCAATCAAATCCCGCCAGTGCAAGCGCTAGCCAATCAAACCGCGTGTACTGTATGCAGATACTGCTGCGGTCTTTTCCATATTAAAATGGAGGATAAATTAATCATCGCTGTAGGAAATGTCCCGGTCCTTTACGACGGCTCTCTGTTCACCTACCGGGACCTAAACCTGTGTGCCTTGGCAGTCTCAGAGGTGGCAGAGACAGTTGTTGAAACTGGTAGGTTTTCACCTGTTTGGGGAGTTTATAACCAGTTTACTTCGTTTTAACATTGAATGGACAGGCTTTGTATGCCGGGGGCGGGCGGGAGATTCCTGGGAGATTCCTGATTGGTTGTTGGTCGCATGAAATCGCCAAGCTTCAGACACGCCCAGCATCAAGATTTTTTTCATGCCTGTGTGTGGACGGGCCGTAACTCTATTTCCACGTTTATGATAACAAACACACACACACACGCTCACTCACACTATTGCACTAAACCTCCTAATCAACTCTAAATCCTTCTCGACAAATATCAGTAAAATGATTTCAAATAAAAGTATAACTTGACATTAGCCTCAACGGAGGAACACTAACTTTTGTACAAAAACGCTCTACACGAGGCTGGTCGTTTGCACTGAACGATGACGCTTGGACCCCCACCACCAATCGACTGCATGGAGACGGCCCCTCTGGAGCTACCTCACCGTCCTCTGACCTTTGACCTGTGGCTTGATGGTGACCTCTTGGTTCAGAAGACCCAGTTGACAGGCACCCACTGCTGCTCCGTGTACAGTTTCTCCAGCGCAGACCGTAGGCTCCTGAACGCAGCCTCCAGGCCGTCGTTCACGATGCAGAGGTCAAAGTAATGTCCGTACGCCCGCTTGATGCGCTCGCTCTCGTCCACTGTCCTCTTCAACTCAGAGTCCTGTAGGAGAAACACAGTGAGACGATTAGGTGACAATACAAAACAAAAGGGCAGGCTATTACTTGGATGGAGTTAATTTTAAAATTGGGTGCACATAAATCCAACTAGTTTACGTCATTTAAATGTTAGTAATTTTTTGGTTTGCTTTGCAGAGTAAAACAACCACATTAGGTATTCCCATTACCAATAAATTGAGATTTCATATGATGAATTTCAGTCTATTTCAGGCTTTAACAAAAACCTAACTTTTAGAGCCCCTGAAAACATGCCTTTAAAAGTATTTATTTTTTTCCCTTTTATTGGATATGTGTAACTAAATAAGTAACTGATTAATATGGAAAAACGTATGGAAAAAATCTGTAAATATACTTATTTATCAATAAGTTAAAGGTGACCTATCATGCAAAATGCACTTTTGTACATCTTTTATACATGAACATGTGTCCCCGGTGTTCCAGGGAACTCACCAAGTGTCAGAAAACACAACCCTCTCTAATGTCCTCTATAACCAAATCTCTTAAAAAGGGGCTGCAACGGATCTGATACAGACTGATCCAGATTTGAACACTTCTATGACGTCACAGAAGTGGCGCTACGGCTATTGGGCCAAGTCCACCAATCAGGAGGAGACAGCCACGGACATTGCCGTTCGAAAGTGCTGGAGACGCTGTAGTACATATGCCAGGCCTGTAGATGGTGCTGTTCTCACAGAACAGCCCATGCAAAGACAGTGTTAAAATGAGCGAAATGAGGAATATTTGGTATTTTGAAAAATAAAAAAGTATAAATATGCCTTATATAGGTATGGTCCTACACTGTATTATTCAAATATAGCATGATAGGTCCACTTTAAGGCAATAGTCCCACTTTAAAAAATAAATAAAACTGTTCCAAACTGTGATTCATCACAACCATATTGTGCATGGTAGAAGATGAATGAAACGTGAAACCCAGAAAATGGTTTTCAGGGCCAAAACACAAACTCACCGTTAACTGTTTCGTCACCACTCCCGACTCAATTGCTGTTTTATTCATAGCTTTGAGAACCTCAAAATCCGGAGCTTCAATAAAGACAACATAGGGCAGGAACTCTGCCGTCCGCAGGACTTTAAGAGCCTTCGAAGAAAAGAAAAAACGGACGTGAGACATCTTACAATCCCTGCATGACTGCACAGCAAGCCAAGGGAAAAGCTGTGACACACAATTATAAAGCTGAGAGAGAATGTGATTAAAATGCAACTGCAGCATCCTGATCCAACACATTTATCAAGCTAATGTATGCAAATAAGATTAGCCGAGTGTTTCCAGTGCATGATGCCAATCATTAAGAGATCTTTCTGATACATATTGATGAGGTGCTCAGCCTGAAAATACGACAGAAGCAACGAGCCGAACAAAATTGGCTCGAATATGGAATTTAAACTGAAGCCATTTACATGAAAACATGACAAACACTTGATAGAAAGCAGAGCAGGACTCCGCTACCTGTGGGTTGACGTCCAGGATGCAGATCTTTCCTGTGTCTATCACCTCGTGTATGGAGTTGATCTTCGTGCCGTACAGATTCCCGTCGTACTCGCCGTGCTCCAGGAAACGACCACTTTTGATGTCGGCCTCCATCTCACTGCGGGTCATGAAGGAGTACATCTGGCCATCCCTCTCATCCACCTTTGGTTTTCTGCAGGTGACTGAAGGATGAGAAAAAGAGTCACGGCCCGTCCACACAGCAGCGTTAAAAAAATCTTCCAACGCTTCTGCCCATTCACTTTGAATGGGGTGACGTCACGTTACCTCACTTTTCGCCGAACTGCATTGTGGGAAGCAAAGCGAAGATTTCCAGGATTTTCAGGATTCAAAAGTTGAGCAATGTTCAACTTTTGAAGCTGAGCTGGAAGCGTCAGCCAATCAAATCCCGTTTATGCAAATCTGACAGTACAAGCGCTAGCCAATCAAACCGCGTGCAAGCTGGGAGTGAAATACCGCAGTTCATTTTCTATATTCTTAAAAATGGAGGAGAAATTAGTTATTGCGGTAGAAAATCACCCGGTTCTTTATGACCAGTCCCTAATAACTTACCGGGATTCAAACCGGAGGACAGTGGGTAACTGGTAGGTTTTCGCCTGTTTGGGGAGTTTATATCCAGTTTACTTCGTTTTAACATTGCTATTGCTTTGTATGTCGGGGGCGGGAGATTCATGTGATTGGTTGTTGGTTGCAAAAAAATCCCCAAGCTTCAGACACGCCCACCTCCAAGATTTTTTTAACGCGGCTGTGTGGACGTACCGTTACTATTTCTACTATATTCTATTTACTTGCACCATCTGTTTTATTGTGTTGCACTGTTGGTGGAGCCTGTGACCTAAGATTTTCATTGTCATAACTACACTGTAGCTAATGTACACATGACAATAAAAACCAGAAAGTCAGAAAGTGATCATAAGCATAGTGCAAAAATAGACCCTCAAAGGTTAAAATCACAAAAATATGAGGAAAATAAATAAAATGTGTTTAAAAAACCATTCCATCTTAATACGTTAAGATAACGGAAACCAAGATGACAAAAACAGAAAGTAACTTGAGTTAAAAAAATTACATAACATGACAATATTCACACAAATACAACAACAACATCAAATAAAAACATTGCAAGGTAATAAACGACCCATTATTTGAATCACGTGGTTCAGTGAGCTGCACTCACAGGGGATGGTGGTGCCGTACCGCTGGGGGTCTGACACCAGCAGCTTGTTTTTCAAACTGCGACGTCCGACCCCCTGTGCACCAATCAGAACCAGAGTCTTCCTCCTGAAGGGCGGGACCTTGGCTACCTCTTCATATATCCGCAGCTCGTGTCGATCGAATTCTAGTCAGAAAACAGTCATTATGGGGACGAATATATCATAACAACATAGACTGGGACGTTGTTATTGTGAGGTACGATACCTGCATTTTTGGTAGTCAAATACATCATCTTTTTTTTCTTCTTTCCACCCATTCCAGCACAAAGAGGGCCTGAGACACAAAGAGACAAAACTCAATAAAACCTCACACTTTTGTCTCAGCCAACAACTTTAACAAAGTCCAAATGATTAACGATCAAGTCGGAAAGCACCAAAGGGTAATAAATCCAAAGTGTATTACAGTTAACAGCCCACTAGAGGGCGCTGTGCACTAATATTGATCGACCTGTCTGCTGCCAGAGGACACCTGTGACCAGGCTCCACAGAGCATCTGTTCAATATGAAAAATGATTAAGCCCATGGGGGGGGAATGCCTTATGAATAGAGACATACATAGAAGCAAACATGAGCTCAGGTAATAATTCTCATGTCAGAATTCAACCCATCAAGCCTCGAGTGCTACATTATGAAGTATTCTTCTTCTGGATCAACAATTTCAGACCTCACCCTGCAAGAAAACAAAAAAAATGTATTCAAATCATGCCCCCAGTGGGTATGATGTGTGGAAAGCGGACAGATGTGTCCTTCCCGCGCTCCAAGGGCAGCACAGTTTGCTGTCATCTTCCTCTCCTCCTCAAGTGAAGGGCGAGCTGCTGACTGTGACTCACCACCTGTTTTGTTGAGATCAGATAGATCTTAAGGACCAGAGGCTCTTTTCACTGCACATCTCTCAAGAGAAGAGATGATTATTGATCAGGTTTGTATTTACGGGGGTCTTATCACCTCTCCTGAATCAGCGTGCTTTCTCTGGAGGGGCTGTTTGTGAATGTAGGACCCTGCAGCTTAATAACAAGCAGATTGGAATCAGGCCTCCTTAATCACGCCGGCACTCATTACCAGCTCTCCAGTGCTCACTGACTAGGTTTGCAGGATGAGCAGCCGGCGCCAGATGAAATGTGTGTATGATGTGGAGAGGAACAGATGCTGTCTTTGTTGCCGGTGCGTTAGTCTGTGTCGAATCTACATAATGAGAGGAGCTCCTCTGCTCTGCTGCGAGCCGTGAGAGGTGTACCTGTGGTAGTGAGCTCCAGATCTCTCTTCACAAACGCTTTCCTTTTCTCCTCCAGCAGCTGGCTTGGGATGAGACCTGCACTGCCTCCTTCTATGTGGCAGGCCTGCGAGAGCACACAGAACAAGCAAAATAATTTGACATAACATTACATGTTACTTGTTAGATGCTTTTATCCAAAGCTACTTACATACTCAATGCTGTGGACAATCCCCACAGGAGCAATTTGGGGTGAAGTGTCTCAGGGACACAACGACATGCTGACTGCAGTGGGGTTTGAACCTGTGACCCCCTGATCTCAACACCAAGGCTCTATCCACTGCGCAACATGCCTCCCAATAATATATATATATATATAGAATAAAATCCTTTAGTCTTAGCTGAGGTAATACATGCACAAACAAATGCTGAATATCCTTGGCTTTACTCACCTGCCACCAGTTCAGGTCCTCCTGGTTGAAAATCTGCAGAATGTTTCCGCTGTTGAAGCCGAGCCCCGCTTCCCTGCAGGGAATCAGGTTATCATGGGATGGGTCGTAGTCAAAGTGACACTTTACAAAGGCCTGAATGGATAAAGACAGGGAAAGGAGGGAAGGTGTCAGAAAGATTCCCCATAATGGATGTCAAAACAGATTGAAAAATACACATTTAGGCTGGGGATGTATTCCCCCGCTGCCTGGGTGTGTATAAACAGACCATGATATGCAGTGGGCACATTGGGCGTGTAAAGTGTCCATCACTTTGAAACAGCCTCGATCAGTTAGAGCCCACTTCATCTCTCGGCTCACTTTCACAACACTTCAAGGATTCAAGATTAAGCTCATAAAGCAAAACCCTGTATCGCCCCCACTGACAGCACCTTGAGTCTGACTGACACATAGAAATAAAAAGAGAGCCAAAATCTGTAGCCATGGCAACCATCCCATCCCCCCCACCATTGCACTTGACGCCTTTCCTCGTACTGAACTGATGCATGAACATAGAAAAAAGGCTGCAAGCTCTCGTAATGTGTGTGGCTTATCACACACACACACACACACACACACACACACACACACACACACACACACACACACACACACACACACACACACACACACACACACACACACAA